GGGCGGAGGCGGAGCGGGACGAGAGCCGCCCCATCCGCCCGGCCCTGGGGAGCCCGGCCGTCCCGCTCCAGCCTCCCGGCTCGGTTCGGAATGCCCTCCCGGCGGGCGATGGAGGCAGCGGAGTACGAGCCGAGCTTCGCCGCCAGGGAAACGGGCGCGGGTCCCCGGCGCCGGGAAGGTGGGCGCCCACGCGTGCCCTCTGTCGCGATCCCTCGCCCGGCGCGCACGGGGCGGCGCGATGCTGGGGGCTGCTGCTACGCAGTGAGCCCGGAGTTCCCTTTTTTGCCGGCTTCCTAAAAACCCATGTGCTCCAGCCCCGGAAGACAAACGGGAGGCCGGCAATGCAATTTGGATTCAAGGTGTGAGGTTATGCTCTCCAAAACTCAAGCGTGATTGGAGCTAAAACCCGAATGGTTTCTAAAGAATCTAGTTTGGTTCCACTAACAACACCAGAGAGTTTCAATTAGTGGGAACTGGTGATGTTAACTTGTGGACGTTTGTGGCTTTGTTTCCCAGCACTGGCTGCTTGTGGTGGAAACAATGCCCCTGCTTCTTTGGGAGATCCAGCACCAACCAACTCCTGGGCGCCTTTGGGGAAGTGCTACCAGTTCCTGGCCACTACTCAGGTCTGGCCAGTAGAAGCAGTATGTTCCTCTGGTAGGGGGGATGGTATGTGACAAGATCTGGCCTACTGCAAAGAAGCACCATTCTGAGACTCTTTTTTTGGCGTTCCTTAGGAAGTGGACCTTGTACTAGACTTTGTACAGCGAAGGTTTGGGTTTAGAGCTTCTGGGTCACCATACAAAGTTGGGAAAGGAAGCTAATGTTTAGGGAGGGCAGCCTGGGTCAAAGAAAAGCCCAGATTGTTGAGTTCTAAATCCAGTTATGGCTGAAACAAATTCTATCTCTGAATATTTTTCATACGTGAATCAATAAATTCACTTTTGGTTTAAGGCTGTGTGGGTTAAATTTTCTGTCCCTTGAAACTAAAAGAGACTGAAGTGATATATAGAAACCAGACATTTTGGTTGTTTACTAACTTTATGAGGCCATTTGAATACGTATAAAACCTTCACTTGGATCCCAAAGTCTTTTACCCGGCTGATTTTTCTTTTTAAGAGGAAAGAAAATAGTGTATTTTTCTTGTTCTATGTGTAGAATATGATGCAGAAGTGACTAAAGCCATTGTTCTTTCTGGAAGCCTACAGAAATGTCTGGATTGTAACAATCTTTGACCAGATGACATGTATTAGATTACTTTCACTGATTTTACCTTTTGTTGGCATCTCCTTTGAGAACCTTATGTCAATGAAGAATTTTAAGAACTTACATTTTTATGTACTTCTTGCTCCAGAGACCTGCTCTGTTTTCTGAGCATCCATATGTAAAAATTATTGAAAATTATTGAACATCTACAAAATGGCGCTGGGAATACAATAATATTGAAAAAAAGGAAAAGAAAAGCAGAAACATTTCCTTCCCTACAGATACTTATAATATATTGATGCAGAGATAGAAGGTCAAGCTCTTCCACAAGATTCCAGAGAACTGAGACGATTCAGAAATCCGCACAATTCTCAGTGTTTCAGGGTATGTAAGAGGATTTAGGAATAACATTCATTTCTTTCACTTTCTATTTTCTCTTGACAAAAATCGAACCACCACCACCACAACACCAAAAAATGTCCACAGAATAAGGTATTCTGTGTATTTGTGACCCAGTGTTGGGGTTTTCATTATTAGGCATAATTAGGCTGTTGCCTTCACCAGCCACTGCTGCTCTCAGCCATCCATCTGGAAGCTCAGAGAGCGCTGGGTTATGCCGTCTCTACCCCAAGACAGGCAAATCTGTGCAGGTAAGTCATTTAAACCAATGTAATAGCACTTGATATGTTGTTACCATACTTTCTCCCTTCCCGAGCCATTTGCCCCATGGGGAGGTAGGAGGGAACATACAGAGATGTCAAGCCTCTCCCTCCATAGCCCCCTTTTCCTGTCTTTCTTTCTGTACACAGATACCAAAAGCCAGAGAACATTTTCCCTTGAGAGAGATGTTCTAATTTATTCTAGCACTAGTTATAAACAGCAAAGGACTGTGGCAAGGCCCATTAGAGACTTAGGTCCTCTAGTGCAGAGCTGCACTGGTGAAGCACTTCACATTTAGTCCTCTCCAAATGAGCTTAGGTAGTATTTTTTAATATGATAAATGAGTGAGATTCAGTTTTATATTTTGGAATACACCACAATTATTTTAACCACCTTTGACATTTCTATTATTACTATTTATATAAATACTAAGGACCTTAAAAAATGGAAGAGGTTCACGGTTCCGTCATCCTCTGAGAAGCCCTGAGACAATACTTTTTAAAATCAGACTCCCAGCCTGAATACAAAAGGAAAATCTGCTTATAAATTAAAAGCCCACAGAAATCATTAAAATGAAGAAAGAACAAAACCACATACATTTGTATACTGACATAATCAACATTTGTATTTGTGCACTGTGATAAAAGGCATCAAACAGCACCTCCTGATGAAGAAGAGATTTAATGTTATGATTCATAAAGTTAAAAATTATTCGATTTTGTCCTTTGTCTAAATTGCTTCTATGTTAAGTATGCTAATTATATGAGGATTTGGGGAAACTCATCTCAAATGGCAGAATTCTCTTCAATTCTTCAATGTCTAAACTAAACTCATATATTATTCATTATGACAAGTTTTAAAAGATGCAAGCATTTACAGAAGACACACAAATATTTCTGATCTGAAATAGCTAAAAGTACAAATTTTTTAATAAATTTTGAGATTGGATTTGAATTAATTAATGACACAAATGGCTGAAAGATAATGGGGTAAAGATTTAACAGAAATCATGTTCTAGCTAGGAACATCTAATTAAACCCAAGGAAATGTTCCCCAGGTTTCCATATTGTCTCAAAAAATGTTAAAATGAATCAGACCCAGAACTCTCAGGAAAATGACAGACTGAGAGGAGAGGCAATGGAAGACTGTCTTGACTGCTCTGAAGGAAGAGAAAGGCGACTTTTCACCTGCCTGTCAGTCCTCTTGCAAACATTCCTCTGACAAATAAACAAGGTTGACTCAGTCATGAAAGTAATGAATTAGATGGAAGTTCGATCATGAAACACACCATTTAAAGCTTAGTGTTGTACCCGATTGAGAATCACTGAACAAGCAGTGATTCTCAAACCTTAGTTGCCTCCGCCTCTGCGGCAGGGTTCCTTCAGTGCAGTGCTGCTGGGCTCCACTCTCCGGTTCCCATCCAGATCAGGGGCGGGGCCTGAGAACTTGCATTTTAACATGGGGACAAGTGATACAAATGCTGCTTGCCTGAGCCCATGCTTTGAGAACAGCTGAGTAAGAGCATTTTTCAAAACAGAGTGGCTCTTTACATGTTTTAATATATGAACATTTACTGCCATATAAACTAATTGGTTTTCAAAGCTATTTTTTTCTTGGTCATAATAATAAATGTAAATCCAACATTTAATTGATTTCCCATAGAATCAATTCTGTATAGAAAGAACAGAAAATGACTTAAAAATATAGGGCCTTTAGGAGAGTAAAAAATAATATTTAGAAATGGGAAAATGGATGCTATGCTCTTAACTGCTTGATAGCTGTGTCCATCACTGGTTTGTTTTGTGTTTTCCACTGCCCACGTGTAGTGCCTGTACATCAATGATCGTTTATTACACACCAAGAGAAAGAATTGTGTTCTTCATTTAATATGTAATGTTTTACACTATCCTCCTGAAAAAAACACCTTATTTTTTAAATTTGTTAGTGAAAACTCCTGTCCATGTAATTTTCTATAATTTCTTTTCAGTTTTCAAATGATTTGTCCTCAAAAGTAGCTTCTTCCGTATATGAGACTAAACTTTTATATGCCAATCAGAAGCTATATAGTTAATTATAATAATGGTGTCAATTTGGCAGTGAAAACACACTCATATCTACAGGTTTATCATAAACCATGCAAATAACTTGTTTCATCTTAATAGAGAAATAGAAGCAATCATCAGATTGTAGAACATATTGTGTGAGCTTTCAAAGCTATCTCTTAATATTCAGGCAAGACCAAACATCATTAAGGTGTTTCTTTGATCTAGCTTGCAGCCTTAAAACATCATTTCACAGCTTGGCCTCATTCCATGCCATACAAGGAGATTCATTGTGAG